ATGCATCCATCCCTCATCCATTGCTCATCGACTACTTACCAAAACCAAGCATAGAAGACCCCGAAGTAGAAGAGGTATGTTGCGCAGAATTAGGCCCCTCTTGGATGGACCCCATCATCCTGTTCTTAAAAGACGGCATCCTACCAGAAGAGAAGAAAGAAACCAACAGAATAAGAGCGAAGTCGCAACGATTTTGGCTATCTCCTTCCTTGGCATTATACAAGAAGTCATTCTCAGGGCCTTACCTAAAGTGTGTCCATCCCAGCAAAGTGGAAGCCTTCTTGTTCGAAATACATGAAGGAGTGTGCGGCAGCCATCAAGGAGGAAGATCACTAGCTTACAGGGCCATTTCGCAAGGATACTGGTGGCCATACATGCAGCCAGACTCCGAGAAATATGTGAAGAAGTGTGAGAAATGCCAAAAATTCGCGCACCAAATACATCAACCAGCAAGAGAACTCCTACCATTAACTAGCCCATGGCCTTTCGCAATGTGGGGCTTGGACATAGTAGGACCACTTCCAACAGCACCCGGCAACAGGAAGTTCTTTCTCGCAGCAACAGACTACTTCACAAAGTGGGTGGTAGCAGAAGCATTGGCATCAATCAAAGAAAAAGATGTGAAGAAGTTCGTTTGGCAGAATATCATCACTCGGTTTGGTATACCAAAATCCCTAATCTCAGACAATGGTACTCAGTTCGACGGCAGAATCTTCTGAAGCTTTTGTGAAGAGTACAAGATAGAGTTCTACAATTCTACGCCGGCATATCCTCAAGCAAATGGGCAAGCAGAAGCATCAAATAAAGTCATCTTGGATGGACTAAAGAAAAGGCTAGAGAAGGCAAAAGGTAAGTGGGCGAATGAATTTCCTCATGTTTTATGAGCCTACCGCACCACACCTCGGCGATCAACAGGAGAAACACCATTCTCCTTAGCCTATGGAATGGAAGCAGTAATCGCACTGGAAGTTGGCCTCCCCACAATTCGAAGCAAAAATTTTGATCCAGACTTGAATGGAGAAGCCATAGCATTGGAACTCGACCTTGCAGAAGAAAGAAGAGAAAGAGCACTGGTTCACATTGCCTCATACCAACGAGAGTTGATCAGAAAATACAACAAAACGGTGCATCCAAGACAATTCAAGATTGGGGATTGGGTACTGCGCAAAGTAATGGGAAACACCTTGATACCAGGAGACGGCAAGTTAGGGCCAAACTGGGAAGGTCCTTACAAAGTGGTTGGGTTAGCAGGCAAAGGGGCATACCACTTAGAAGACAAGAACGGCAAAGCAATCCCATGGCCATGGAACACGGCCAATCTCAAGTTATTTTACTTTTAGCTTTTTTCTTTCAAAATATGTAATTTTTTCTTTTCTCAATAAAACAAGCGATTCTTTTCAGCATAAGTTGTTCTCTGTAAAAGTTAGCTTTAATAAAGTTTAGGTACATTGCAAACATTATTCTAAGTTAGCAGAAAAAACTAACTTAGAGGTTGGCTGGAGTAAACCAACACCCTTCCTAAGCCCAGGATAAGGATCCAGGCTGCAGGACGTTTGGTCGGAACAACCAAACATTATTCTAAGTTAGCAGGAAAAACTAACTTAGAGGTTGGCTGGAGTAAACCAACACCCTTCCTAAGCCCAGGATAAGGATCCAGGCTGCAGGACGTTTGGTCGGAATAACCAAACATTAGTTAGCAGGAAAAACTAACTTAGAGGTTGGCTGGAATAAACCAACACCCTTCCTAAGCCCGGGATAAGGATCCAGGCTGCAGGACGTTTGGTCGGAATAACCAAACATTATTCTAAGTTAGCAGAAAAAACTAACTTAGAGGTTGGCTGGAATAAACCAACTATTGTTACTCTTCAGCCGAAGTAAGGGTAGGGCTGAAAAGTAGTTGGCTGGATTAAACAAACTCTGTGTACTCCTCAGCCGAAGTAAATATATCGGCTAAGGAGTGGTTGGCCGGTAAGCATAGTTTAACCAGCTAAAACCGAAATAGCAGTTGGTGTAATAGAAGACATTACAAGTGCAAGCATATGAATCAAAACTGGAATAAGAGTTCAAGCAAAATTTTCATTCATTGAAAAGAAATTACAGAGGGGCATAGACGGTTACAAAGACAAAAAGCAACAAAAAAAGAGAAAAAGTACAAAATCAAGAGAAAAGATCATTGATTTCGGCATCAAAAGCTGCATCAGCATCAACTCGAAGACCGGTCTCAGATGGGAGCTTGCTCACGGTCGCAAGGGTGGTTTCGGTCGGAACCACGGTTTCACCTGGAAGTTCAATAGTCAGGTCCTCCACCGTGGGCTCCAACCGAACCAACTGGTCCGCACTGACAACCGGAGTATCCTCAGAAGCAGAGTCTTCATCAGAATCTGAGCTTTCGAGGAACTGCTGCTGCATGGCATTAGCATACTCCACAAGGGAGTTCGGTATGAAGTAGGCTGGAGGGTTGAAAACCTCGGTCTGTGGATCGTGACCGAGCTTCTCAACAGCTGCCCTCCAGCCGCACATGAAGAATAGCTCCTTGGCAGCATCTCACTGCTTGACATAAGCATCCTCTGCCTTCTTGTAGCCTTGCTTTTCTGCTCCCTTTGCGCTCCCCTTCAGTTGAGTTATTTCGGTAACTTTTTTCTTTTCAAGCTTCACCAACTCGCGCAGATACTTGTCTTTCATAGTGATGGCGGCTTTCTGCTTCTCTGCTTCGGCCGAACTAACCAGTCTGGCAAGTCGGCCGTTCTCAGCTTGTAGCTCGGCCATTTGCTTTCTGGCTTCTTCTAGCTCGGCCACCTTTGCTTCGGCTTCCGCCACTGCTTGCCTTGTTATTTTCCTGAGCTCTAGGACTTTCTTGTAAGTAATGTTGTTTTTCTGTAAGGCCTGACAAAACGAAGACTTCCCTTGAGCCAAAGTGAAAGTTGAAAAAATTAGACAGAAAAACGGACAGAGCTACTTACCAAAATCATGGACTTTGATGAAGACCGGATGGACTTCAATTCGGTGTTTAGTTGCTTTTGGTGGTGCTCCATATCTTTGGGGAGGCACACACTCTTGGCCAGGTTGAAGGCCAATTGATGATCTTTGTCAGCAACAACCGAATCAGAATCTTGGATATCTCGGTCATTGAAGGTTAGCTTCGGTGCCCAGCTGGTGGTAGTTCGGTTGGTAGGCTCGGGTTGGGGGCTCGGTGGCAGGCTCGGAGGAAGAGCAGCTTCGTCTTCATCAACCAAGTTTTGTTCGGTTTTGGCAGTCCGGGCGCGCTTGGTTCGGCGGGATGAGGACGGTTGTTGTGTAGGAAGGGCCACCACCGCTTCTTGGGTTTGAATTGATGGTGGTACTTCGGCCCTGGTTGTTTCGGTCAGAAGGGCCCTGACTCTGCTTTTCTTTGCCATATCTTCTTCGGCGGTTAGTGGGACAAGTCTGATTTCGGGCAAGGTTGGGTCCGGTTCTGGTGCGTCTTCAAGAAGGAAATCGGTCACTCTGGCTTTTCAGCGACCGCTATATCTATAGGTCGGCTCAAAATTTAGAAGCTTAGCCCAACTCCTTTCGTTAAAACGTAATGCGGCTCGGAGTGTGTTCAGATTTGGGTAACTATACAGGGAAGCAAGATAAGCTGAGTCTGCAAAAAGGATACAACTGTTAGATCGGTTATGACATCTGAAACCAAAGTAAAAGAAAAACATACATAAAACCGAAGTAACTATACCAGGTTCTCCTTTGTTCTAGTTTATACTTCGG